ATTAGCGACCAAATGAATTGCATCACTATCGCTAGCAAATTCATTAGTTGTTCCGGAGGTTTCCAATGACTTCATCGAAGTGGCAAGTGTGTGTATAGGTTTGAGCATCACATTGGAAATATGAAATATGTTTCACCTAAACCCCCTTTAACAGTATTGTTTTTCCTAAACCCCCTTCAAGATTCGAAGTCTTCACATCAATTTCTTGAAAGGCCGTACCAGTTTCTTCACTTGAAGAAATACATCTTTAGGGGTCATGTTCCGTCGGTTAAACCAAATCATCAGGGACTATAACTACTGTGGATAGTCACAAACACATTAGTCCCTCATCTTATTTGTCTTCAATACACCAAAACCACTAAGGGGCACTTGATGCACTTACAGTTATATTAGATGTGATTCAGACACTATCATTGTGTATTCTGGATGTGATTAAGGAACTTTCATAGTTCTATGTGAGTGCTATTTTAATTGATGGCATCAGTTCTATGTTATAATATCCTGGATTGAACTGATGACAGTGCTATTTTAATTGATGGATCAGTTCTATGTTGTACAATTTGTTCATGTACATACATGTTAGTATTAATTTGATGTGATTCAAACGCTGTCGCTATGTTGTTGTACTTATATTTATCTTCCTCATAAAATAGGCAATTGGTTATTACACATGACGAATAAATTGTAGTGATCATACTTTCACTAGTGCAGTATCTCAACATTGATAACATAATTGAATCATATAACAATCCCTCAACATGCGACAAAAAATCACTCCAAAGTTATTATTAATACCGGAGAACATAAGATGAAATTTTTGTAGGTAGCAAACCACCTGAAAGTTATCTTTCCAATCAATATATTGAGCCATCCCTATAGGTGTCACAAACAACCCTAGAGATCTTACAGCAATAACACCATATGATACACATCAATCGACTCTAATGTCACCTAGATACTCCAATTTCACCACAAGTATCCGTGAGTTCATTATTTGATATGGATCAAACAATTTCAGATTCATAATAATCAATTCAACACAAAGAACTTCAAAGATTACTCCCAAAGTTTTATCGGATGAAGTAGGTTTAAAACATGTATCAACCTATGTGCCTAGATTGCCCCAATGTCACCATGGGGATACGCAAGTTGATTGCCCAAACATATATCAAGTGACATAGTAAAATACCTTATTGTCACCACGAGTATCCACATGAAACAGATACATCAATTGATCTCAAATCCAAAATATTCAATTCAATAATAATGAAACCTCAATGGTAAGACTCAATTCATCACAACAAAGATAGAGAGTGATAGAGGTGAAGGTATCACGTCTTTTTATGAGATGGTGGCTATTGTTTTTGGTGGAATTGACTTTCACGATCTGACTACAAACGTGCGAGGACGTCGCGCCTTAGTAATCGCGAAACCAACTCCGAGAGGTTATTGACCACACCAGAGCATGATCAACCTGACCATGAGGGTCTATTTCCTACACGCAAACGAAGAACAAGCAAGAAACTGAAATTGCAATCTGAATATTGCGAATATAAGAGGAAAACATTATTAATGGAAGAGGTTCTATGACATCTTGGTCTGGTCGTAAACAAACGAAGGACGCAAACTTGCAGCTATGTCGAACTTTTAATCTAAACAAAACTGAAGTCTAAATGGTGCCTTAAGGGTTGTATTTATTGGGGAAAAAGAGGAGATTTTGTCCTCCCTTGGCAAGGTGGGACTATTACACATCCTAAATCATTTCCCCTTCAATACAGACTCTAAAACCAACCTATGAAGTAGTATTTCAAAATTATGTGGGCCAGGCCCAAAACTAAGGTGACGCCGCACCTAAAATAAGCTATGGATGAAATTTATAAAAGGGCTTCTTGTATATTTCGTCCATGTTCCTTGTATGCCATCATAGAGGCTTCAAAGTGCTGAAAACTCCATCAGAACGCTGTTCTGATTCCCCTCTCTAGCAGGGTACCGGAATGGAGCTCCGGATGAGATCTCTTTAGAACTGAGGCTTACGGCGGTGGAAAATCTCATGTAGGTTTCTTTTTGGAGGTTTATCAATTTGTAGGATTTTGCAGCGTTGGAATCACGCCGGGAGGAGTTTGAGGCGCCCAAGGGAGGCACCACCCAGGCTTGTGCCCCCTAGACACCTTCTGGTCCTTCTCCAAAGCTTCGTGGGTCTCTTCTTGTCCATAAAAAATCTCCGTAATTTTTGTGGCATTTGGATTTCATTTGGCATGGATTTTCTGGAATACCAAAAACATGCAAGAAAATAGCAACTAGCACTGGGCACTAGGTTAATACGTTACTTCATGAAAATCATATAAAAGTGCACCAGAACTATATAAAATTGTTGTAAAAATGGCATGAATACTTCATAAATTATAGATACGTTGGAGAAATATCAGACACTTCCACCACAACAAGCCCTTTATGATGCTCTCCAACAAATACTACTGGCCAAAGATGTTTCTTGACGTCGCGCATACATCAACTGGTGCTCCACATGTCACAAAGCTAAGTCTCAAGCTCAATCTCATGGTCTACATATGCCACTTCCTATACCATATCACCCATGGGAAGACATTAGTATGGATTTTGTGCTTGGCTTGCCTAAAACTCAAAACGGCAAAGATTCGATATTTGTCATTGTGAACCGTTTCCCTAATATGGTACATATTATTCCATGCAACAAGAGGGACGGTGCTTCACATGTTGCCTATCTCTTTTGTAGGAAATCTTGTGATTGCATGGAGTTCCCAAGACAATTGTATCGGACCGCGGTGTCAAGTTACTAACCTACTTTTGGAAGACACTTTGCGCCAAACTTAGAATCAAGCTACTCTTCACCACGTGTTGACCAAGAAAACCAACAGCCAAACAGAGGTCACCAATCGAACACTATGCACACTCCTCCACGTGTTGACCAAGAAAACATCAAGAGGTCAGAAGAATGCCTGCCATAGTCGAGTACACCAACAATCGAGTATGACACTCTACAACCAGCACATCCCCCTTCGATGTGGTCTATGGCTTCAACCTATTGTTGCCATTGGACATCCTCCCGCTACCACAACAAGAGGGAGCAAACGTGGACGCGAGCATATAGGAGCAACTTACCTCAAGAAGGTGCATGAAGATACAAGGCACACGACCGAACGCCAAGTACAACGCCTCGCCACCAAGCTCAACACCAACAAGCACCCCATGGTATTCATCCTCGGAAATCTTGTGTGGCTACACTACGCAATGACCACTTCCCCCACCGAGTTTAAGTCCAAGCTTCTAGGTGCTAGCACGCTACAACGACAACACCTACAAGGTCGACCCCACGCGACAAGTACAATGTGAGCGACATCTTCAACATCTAGGACCTATCTCCTTTACATGGTGATGATGCTATCGATCCGAGCGCGGATCTTCCCCAAGGGGGGAGATGATGCGGAGGATCCTTCGTTCATCCCATGGACACCACACCAAGTCATCATACACCAGGTGGACTCATAACAAGAGCTCGTGCACGTTCTATAGAAAGTGAGGTGAACTCACTCCTTTTTTAGCTTGACACGAATATGGATGGGAATTGGCTTCTACCACACCATGGAACTTTGTGTGTCATTAGGCACGAGGAAGACCCCCACCAAGGAGCTAAGGAGTCTCGCCAAGAGGAAGGATGGGAAGGACACAAGGAAGACGAAGACTAGCAATTGGAAGAAGAAGATGCACCCAGGTGACCCCATGCGCACGGCCCCTCCTGGACCCTGTGCGCACGACCCATCCAGAGGCTTTTCGGACATCCCGTGCGCATGAGCCTCCAGGACTCAGTGCATAGGAGCCTTGCCGCTGGCTACCCCATGCGCACGGGCGTGTACAGTGCACACAGGACCCCCATGCCCACGGGGCCAACTTAGCCCATGCGTGGGCCCTCGTGTGAGTTGAACGGGAAATGCCCCTTTTGCCCCTCCTCTTGGTCCCTCACCTCGAGTCACCTATATATTTTGTACCTAAGCCATTTGTTAGGTTAGCAAAGCATATGGCATGATTTAGAGAGAGCTTTGCTCATCTACCTCTCCCCTTGGAGATCAAGACCTCCTAGGAGAAGATGGCCAAGTGGATATCAAGACCTCCTCTCCTAGGGTTGGATAAGACTATCATCAAGACCTTATCTCATTTGTATTTGAGAAGAACCTTTACCTTTGTGCTATTTTCCCTTGATTGTTCATGTTATTCTTGTGGATCTCATGTGCGTTATTCTAGTGGATGTTTGATTTGGGTTTGTTTGAGTGTTTCCCCTTTGTGTTCTTGTAGTTCTTTCCCTTTTCCCCTCCAAGTGTGAAGAAGATCAGCACTTAGGGTTTCACCCTACAACAGCTGGTGCGGGGAGCGGGCAGCTAGGGACGTGAGGATCTACATGCATAGCGCTTGCGGGTAGGACGGCGGAGGTGGGGCGGAGGGGCTCGCAGATCTGGAGGAGGCGGGGCTAGAGTCCATCAATCTAAGCTCACGGGCACGCCCGCCGGTGGGGCAGGGGAGGCCATCAGGGAGCGGTGGTCGGCGGCGTCGGAGTGGCGCCCATCGAGGCTATTGGTAGTCGCCGGTGCTATAGTGGCCACGAGCAAGTGTGGGCGTGGGAGCCTAACATCTTTTGGGCGGTCAAATAATATATTGAAGGTCCGTAAAATTCTTATGCTCCTAAAATAAGTAGAATAGATGATGATAAAGCCAAAAATAGTAAAACCACGGCTAAGAAGTCGGGAGAAAAGTGGGACTCCCTCTCTCTCAAAACCAACCACCTCCAAGGGTCATTTCCCCTTCATCTCTCTCCTCCTCTCCTTGCCTAGCTAGAGGGAGAGGAAGAGAGAGATCGGCCACAACTCATCCGTTCCATCCATAGATCGTAGCCAGGTGCACATTCCCGGCCGGAAGCTAGCACGCACTCTTTCCTGCCCAACGACGTACCTCGTGACGCCGCGCAAGCGGTCATGGGCAACTGCTGTGTTGCCCGGCCATCTTTCAAGCGGCGTGGCGGTGGCTCTCCCAGGCAACGCGGCGGACGCCTAGGAGGCGCCAACCTCCGGTGCCTCTCCACGGTGTCCTCAGTCACTGACACGCCGCGTGCCACGGCCCAGCCGCCTGTAACCGTGCTTGGCAAGGGCCTGGCCGCGGCCGACAACACCGAGGAGCTCCTCCGGCGGTACCAGCTTGGCGAGGAGCTGGGGCGCGGCGAGTTTGGGGTGACGCGACGGTGCATGGACGCGGCAAGGGGAGAGAAGCTCGCGTGCAAGTCGATCAGCAAGCGGAAGCTCCGGAGCAGCGTCGACATCGAGGACGTGCGGCGCGAGGTAGCCATCATGCGGTCGCTGCCCTCGCATGTAAACGTCGTGCGGCTCCGTGAGGCGTTCGAGGACGGCGACTCCGTGCACCTGGTCATGGAGGTGTGCGAGGGGGGCGAGCTCTTCGACCGCATCGTCGTGCGCGGTCACTACACCGAGCGTGCTGCCGCCGCTGTCATGCGCACTATCATGGAGGTCGTGCAGGTACGTCGTACTAGGTGTAATTCTTCGTTTGTTTTTGGCTAGTTTATTTATTAACTGGTCTGGTTGTAAGTACATGAAACACAATGAAGACAGATTCAGATTTTTTTTAGGCAAGATTCAAATGGTCAAGACAGAATCAGATGGTCAAGAGAATTTAACGCTGAAGCACACGGCGTTGTACACATAAGTTTAGACGGTTCCGGGCATTGCAAACATTACCCACGTAACAGAATTTAGCATCCCAAAATTTAAAATGCACAAATATCATTAAAAATATTTACGGGCTATGTGGTTCAAGATGTATATAGTATAAACGTTTATCTACATGACTAAGGACTCAACTCTGAATGTGTCACCATCTTTCAGAATATACAATACTTACATATTTCGATATAAGATTATGCTACTTTTTGTCATGCCATGCAAAATGTAGAATCCGTTATTTTCCAAAGAAACCAATAATCAGCACAATCTGTACACACTCGATCTAGCGACTGAAACACAACACTTTTTGCAGCATTGCCACCAGAACGGTGTTATGCACCGGGACCTTAAGCCTGAGAATTTCTTGTACGCCAATGCATCTGAGAGCTCCCCTCTCAAGGTTATCGACTTCGGACTCTCCGTGTGCTTCAAGCCAGGTATAAACTTCTGAGCTTCTAATACGATATATACATATCACAAATATGAAACATGATTTTTCTAGTTATGTGCGGTCCTCAGGTGAAAGATTCAGTGAGATCGTCGGATCTCCCTATTACATGGCGCCTGAAGTCCTGAAGAGAAACTATGGACAGGAAATCGACATCTGGAGTGCAGGCGTCATATTGTATATCTTGCTATGTGGTGTCCCTCCATTCTGGGCCAGTAAGTTCGTACTCCTGGAATCTGATATAGAACTCCGAAATTGTGTTCATGCTCACAAACTGATCAGGTTCAGCTTTCATCTTTTTTGTAGAAACGGACGAAGGGATTGCGCAGGCCATCATCCGATCACGCGTCGACTTCGAGCGCGAGCCTTGGCCGAAGGTGTCAGACAACGCCAAGGAGCTTGTTAGCAGGATGCTTGAAAACAACCCTTATGCCAGATTGACGGCTCAACAAGTTTTAGGTCAGTAGATCTCACAATTCCTTCCACTTCTCTGAGATGATCAGCATGTATCTAACAATGGTTTACCAACTTCGAGAATGAAGAGCATCCATGGATACAGAATTCCACCGCTGCTCCAAACATTCCTCTTGGTGAAGCAGTAAGGTCAAGGCTAAAGCAATTCACTGTCATGAACAAGTTCAAGAAGAAGGCCTTGCTTGTGAGCTCACAAATAATCATTTTTCCTAACTATTATTTTATGGGACTATGGATTTTGATGAACATATATATGCTGAATTATGTGTCTATTGGCCAGGTGGTGGCGGAATACTTGCCTGCTGAAGAGCTGGAGGCAATCACGGAACTGTTCCACATGCTGGACACTAACAAGGATGGGCACCTGACAATTGAGGAGCTCAGGAAAGGTCTACAAATGATAGGGAACAATGTCCATGATACAGATGTGGATATGCTCATGGAAGCTGTGAGATCCTGCACATTCACTTTTACCAAAATAATTCTAAAGCATTTTCGAATGCAGACATTGGGGAGCTGTTCTTTTTCTATCTTGGTGTTTCAGAATTCTGACTTATATGACCCCTACCATATCATTGAACTATTAAACAATAACCACCAGTTGCTCCATGATTCATAGAGCTTACAATTTGGTAAACTAAACTTCAAAGATTAACTATTTTGAGTTTTTAATCTTTAGGCAGACTTAGATGGAAATGGCACCTTGGACTGCAAGGAGTTTGTCACGGTCTCCATTCACCTGAAGAAAATCCGCAGCGAGGAACACCTCCCCAAGGTGTTCAACTACTTCGACAAGAACATGAGCGGGTTCATCGAGATGGAAGAGCTCAAGGAAGCGCTATCCCCAAGAGGCGACCAGAAGGCCATCGAGGACATCATCTTCGACGTTGACATTGACAAGGTTAGCAAGCTCACTATCAAGTATCAACACCTCCAGAAACAGGAAAACGCAAAAGGACGCTTTGGGTTGCCCCGGGTCGCTCCTTAAGACGACACGGGAGGCAAAAACTCTAGCCGCAGCCACCAGCCGCAACCTCCTCTCGTGCGCTGCGGCGACGTACGGTGCGGCGGCAGATGCGGGGACGGCGTGGTCGGAGCTCGCAAGGAAACAGGCCGGTGGTCCTGGAGCGGCGGAGTTGCGGAGTAGTGCGCTTGGCCACGACAACTTGCTGTGGAGGCGGGCCACGGTGGTTGGGCGGCGGGATATGGGCCGCATACAACGGCGTGCGCACCGGATCTGGCGTCCTTGGCGGCGCCGCCGCGCTTGATCGGTTGTTCCCGGCGCCTCTTGCCTCCATGGCCACGTTCTCCACTGGCCTGGCGGCAAACTGAAGTCGTGGATCTGGAACGGGTCTCCCTTGTTTCCATAGACTAGCCACAATGGATTAACTTGCACTCGTAAAGACTCTAGATTATATTACGACTCGTACATCTATAGTGGGAAATACTACGTAATATATTGTATGTGGTGTCATGCAAAGTTTCATTTATTAGGTTATGAACTCATTTTATCTTGTATATGTAATGTTACCATAGTATGAGTAACTAGCTATATTACTCAACTCATTGTCACATAAACAAATTTGCTACGTTGGACTCTATGCCTTTCCCACTATAGCTAATCTGACCAAGTCGGGCCGGCTGGGTGATGGCGTGGTCCTGTCCCGCGGTCGGTTCAAACATGCCATTGTGGGGTTTGCGGGCACCATTGGTCTTGTCGAATGGGAGGTGGATGCTGGGTTACTGCGGCGGCGGCTCCATGCGGTTGGAAGAGAGACCGTGTTTTATTTATTTATTAGGCAATGGACAATTGCGCCCATTTATCCATTCAAAACTACACCCTTCGTCTAACAATATAATATCATTTTGCAAGCTAATAGTTCATTACAGATATTGATCCTGATTACATGAGGGAACTCATCAAACCATCAGGACCAAACATCATACTCTGCCGATTTAGCCAGAAGATGTGTTGCCTCATTATAAGAACGATTGACAGGGATAAAAGTACAAGATACAAACTTTGTGACACATTTTCTAATATCATGGACTATGGCTCTAATACCTATCAAAACGTAAACCCTCGACCTTTTTTGAATATGTCTTTGAGTTTATTCGGAAAAAGCACGGCGGAAGGCACCTACCCAGAGCCCTCCTATGGGCACTTTGGTTAAAGTGTCTGAGTAGCCTTGAACCAAAAGTTTCATTGTTGATCAATGATAGGCAATCAGATGCTAGTGATCTTCCTTATACTAGTGTTATTGGCAAGGATTACGACTTGACGAAGTGACATGGCTTCTGCTACTATAGAAAATTGAACTCTTTCAAAGTAAACTCTGTTCGCCGCACGCACCCTTCCCTGGTGATCACATATCACCACACCAAAGCTCGTTGTGTAGTAAGTTCGTTGCATCCATCGCCCATCCAATGGGAAATGGTGCATGCGTTGCTTGTGTGGCGGTAGATGCTGCCTGGGCGCAACAATGTCGACGTGTCATGCTGGGCCCGCCCTTTTAGCTGGCTTGCCAGGCCGACAGTACACGTCCCTTTTATAAAAGGTCCTACATGGGTTGAGTAGTTCCAGGCCTTCACATGGCTGGGACGTAACGTGTCGGGCCTTGCCACCCATAGGCCAGGTTTGGCTAGAAAGTCAGGGCCTATATCATAGTGTGATGGTCATGGGCTGCACTTAGAGCATCGATGACCAGACATGACAAATCCGAGTATGTACTAACCCCCTAAATGTCTGTGAATGCACTCGCGGGAAGCTCTGGTCTGCCCCTGGTTTTTTCGTCATCCTAATCACTACCCCTATTTGCAAACCCCATACTAACCATCCAATGTTCATTTTATCATATGTAGTACATGTTAGATGAAGCAAACAAGCTAAAGACAAAGAAACTACCCTAATTTACTCTAATCATCGGCGATGTCGGAACTACCTCGTGGTCATTGGCGGCGCAACAAAGCTCTAGTGCCCTCTTCCTCATCGTCGAGGTCCGTGAAGAGCTGCTCCTGCCACAAGTCGGCCATGTGGATACGATGGCGGTTTGCCTCGACCTCTTACTCGAACTACATCTAGTCAAGGATGGCGGTTTTGCTCAGCCCTGAACTGTAGTGCCACCTCCATGGCTTGGGTGTGTTGGAACTTCACCTCCTACTCCTCCATGCCAAATCCCTTGAGCTGAACCTCCATTCCCGGTGCCTCATCTGCCTCCTCCTCCATGTCTTTTGATACACCCCCCTTTGGTACCTCCTCCCGCCCCACCATAATTTGAGTGGCACGACGTGCCTCCTCGGACGACACTCTTTGGTGCCGCACATCTGGGCGGCGCTCAAGGTGTGACCAGCTTGTAGTAGGTTATTTTCAGTCGATCTTGGCCATAGGGAGGTCCGAGCGGAAGGGGAAGCAGATGGAGCGAGTGCTGGTTGCGCGGACAGAAATGAGTTGAGGAAAATAGGGGCATCTAGGGTTTCCCTCATTGGCCAGCTTAAATAGAAGACTTTGGTACCTCGGGTTATGAGCAAGAGTAGCGTCATGAATGTGTTCTCGCAAAATCAGAGCAGGAAGCTAGCAGACCGATGGGTTTCACGCGGGTCCCACCTGTTAGACCGATGTGGTCACTGTGTCTGAGCATCCCCATATCCGCACAACATATGGGACGGGTATGAGGGTTGATACACAACTTGGACGGAGCTGGTTTTGGGGAGTCCAGTTGCATGGAGATTTTCTATCTGGATTGTCCGCCCAGATGTTTAGGGAGGGAAGTGGGTGGTCCGATTAAGTATTTGTGGCACCAATTTTGTATTTCAAACCAGCTCATATAGTACAACTATTGTTATTGTTTTGATGTTTAATATAAAAACAATTATTTTTATGCTAGTTAGGATGGTCTCAAAACTGATTACAGTACAAGAATAGGGTATAATGAGATTTCAAAAAAAGAGCTAAAAATGCATGTGTATGGGTAATCTCACCATCTCATACTGAAGAGGTCATCAGAACAACCTATCCAATTCTCGTCCTTCCAACCAAACAATAAAAAGTGCTTATCCAACGTATCAAGTCCCACCCTACTAATCAAAATAACATGGCTATCCCTAACCAGGTGGTGTGATATCCTCATCGAACCTAGCCTTGCCCTCAAACCAAACACCCCCTTAGTCGCTCGGTGCACCTTGAGCTACATCACAGTCATGTCGTGTGGCATTCTAGCCTCTTGTAAGTGCTAGATGTTGGGATGGTGGTATGGAAGGAGGTGTCGGGTGGCTTCGTTGGGCATGGCAGCATGGTGAATGTCGATTTGCAGCATTAGGTTGCCCTTGTCTTGAGAGGGTCGAAGGTTTCATGCAAGACATGGTCCTACAGGTGCTCTCTCTCTCTCTCTCTCTCTCTCTCTATCTCTATCTCTCTCTCTCTCTCTCTCTCTCTCCGCTGCCAGAGTCACGGTGACTCGTCTCTGCTCTTCCCATAGCAGTTTTGGTTCTCTTCACTTTCCACAGCGTTGATGGTTGTGAGGTGGTGGTGCAGTGCCTGGTGTGCAGTGTTCTGTGATTCCTGGAAAGCCTGTTGGGGTCTTGATCCCCCTCATCGAGTTGGTCAAGCTAGATATGGCAAGTTCGACGGAGGGTCGTCGATGGTATGATTTTGGGGGATCATGCTTTGTCGGCAGTCATTGATAATTCGGTCATGCTCGCTGGCGTATTTGTGCTTGTGTTTCACTATTTTGTATAGCTAATTGGGACTTCGTGCACTTTGGATCTTGTTTTCCCTCGGTATTCTCTAATTAACAAGACAATTATATTCTTCTAAATGAATAGTCATAACTCTTGTCAGTTTACCCCCCCCCCCCCAAAAAAAA